TACCTCCCCATATCTTGTGCCTATGAATAGCATTTCACCAGGGTTTCTGCTGCTAAATCCAAGCTTTTGTTGGTGAAGTCTCGTTTTTGTTGGTCAAATCCCCTTGAATTCATTCGTAATTTTCCTATTTTTGTTCTATCCCCATATCTTGTGGATTCTGTTCCCCTTCGATTGTTACACGGTGTTTCCTTAAAAAATGGGGGCACACCGCCCAGACATTCGTTTCGCTATTGACATGTTTTTTTCCGACAATTCTGGCATTGCCCACTTTAGGAAATCATATAAATTTCAACAGAAGCGCAAAACCAATTGAAGTCCCATAAAACATTATAACACATTTTTTTCCCATAAAACATTATAAAACTTTTTTTCCCATATCAAACCCAGTAACATCCATTAAAATCCACTAGCATCCATTACAATCCTATAAACCCCATTAAACCCACTTAAAACCCATTAAAACTTATTGACATTCTATAACAACCCATATCACATCCGTATCACACCCATATAAAACTCAAAAAGACCACAACATCTCGTGGGTTTTGTTCAACCTGAATCACCCAGGTTCCTCTGACTTTTTGCAAAGCATCATGTCGCTTGGACGGCTTGGAACATCTGTGAAGTGGGGGTTGCTGGTCATAGCTGAATATGGTGACATAACAATTGGGGATATCATGGGATATAGCTATATTTGGATATGACTTGTGGATATGATAGAAATATGTTTCAAGTGGGGACACATATATCAATCAATTCTTTATGGGATTTCTTTAGGGATTGTAACAAGCCGTGTTGAATGATGCTTCAAATCATGGTTGTTGATTATGACAGAAGTTACGAACCCATGGAACCAATACTAAATTTCAGAAATGATGCTGGATGATTACTGGGGATTATAACATATTGTAACAATCCACGAGCTGGGTTTCCAGTGGGTAACCAAGAAGTATATCATAAGTTACATAAGTAATAACGTGACTCCAATATATCCGCGATACAGTTATATTCCCCAAAAAACATTATTACACACTATATACATATATATATATTGTTCCTTATTTTCGCCCGTAAACTTACCAGTAGTACCGCACAAGGCGGAAGTTTCAGAATAATAGGAAACCTATAGGAGAGCTTGGTTGTTGTGAATCACGGATGGCAGAGCGAATCCACTGCTGGACTGAAAGGTGGTTGGAGTCTTGTTTTTTGGAGTGGTTACAATGGTTGCAGTGGTCACCTGGTCGGTCACCTCACCCACAACTGCTAGATGTAGTGTGGTGTAGTGCAGCTGTAGCTGTAGTTGTAGTGTAGTGGAGTTGTAGTTGTGGTGTAGTGTAATTATTGTAGTGTAGTTGCAGTTGCATTTGTGGTGGTGTAATGAGTGTAATGAGTGTAGTGTAATGTAATGTATGGTAGTTTAGTGCAGTCTAGTGTAGTGTAGTGTAGTGTAAAGTAGCGTAGTTGTAGTTGTAGCTGTTGTTGTAGTTAGTGTAGTGTAGTATAGTGTACTGTAGTGTGGTGTGGTGTGGTGTAGTGTGGTGTAGTGTAGTGTAGTGTAGTGTGGTGTAGTGTATTGTAGTGTTATGTAATTAGTGTAGTGTAGTGTAGTCGCGCAGTGTGGTGTAATTAGTGTGGTGTAGTGTAATGTAGTGTAGTTGTAGTTGTAGTTGTAGTTGTAGTTGTAGTTGTAGTTGTAGTGTAGCGAAGTGGAGTGTAGTGTAGTGCTATGCAATTAGTGTAGTGTAGTGTTATGTAATTAGTGTAGTGTAGTGTCATGTAATTAGTGTAGTGTAATGTAGTGTAGTTGTAGTTGTACTTGTAGTGTAGTGAAGTGGAGTGTAGTGTAGTGGTTGTAGTTGCTACAAAACCCTCACGTTTTGCTCACTTTTGACAAGGTGCACAATCCCTTGCGCCTGCCACACGAAACGACATCTGAACGTCCAAAAGTGCCCCGTACCCGTCAGTGTTTTACACTTTTGGCTTGGAAATGTGCCTCGCGCCACAGCAGCGTGCACTTTTTGAACATCTCAACTTCCAACAGTGCTCCGAACGTGGTGTGTTTTGCACATTTTGACTTGAAAATGTGTTTCGGGCCACACCGGCGTACACTTTTTCGACATCTCACATTCCAAAAGTGCTCCAAGAATGTGTTTTGTAGATTTTGACTTCGCAATGTGCTTCGCGCCACAGCGGCATCGCAACTTCCAAAAGTGATCCGACGTTGGTGTGTTTTGTACATCTTGACTTGGAAATGTGCTTCGCGCCACACCTGGATGCAATTTTTAATCTCTCATCTGGCCAGATGGCTCCGCACCCGCCGCTTTAGCGAGCCTACTTTTCGACCCTCCGGAGCCACAAGTCATTGGACAAACACAGTGTTTCGCGACTTTCCTACCTTTTCGCGCACCTGGATCTTCTTTCTTCTGACTCTTTCTTCTGACTCTTTCTTCTGACTCTTTCTTCTGACTCTTTCTCTTCCCTGATCTTCTCTGATCTTCTCTGATCTTCTCTGATCTTCTCTGATCTTCTCTGATCTTCTCTCTTCTTCTCTTCTCTTCTCTCTTCTTTTCTCTTCTCTCTCTTCTCTTGTCTTCTCTTCTCTTCTCTTCCCTTCCCTTCGCTTCGCTTCTCTTCTCTTCTCTTGTCTTCTCTTCTCTTCTCTTCTCCTCTCCTCTCTTCTCTTCTCTTCTCCTCTCCTCTCTTCTCTTCTCTTCTCCTCTCTTCTCTTCTCTTCTCTTCTCTTCTCTTGTCTTCTCTTCTCTTCTCTGACTCTTCGCACCTGTGCTTTTCCATTTGTCCATATTGTCGGAAGTTTGACTTCTAAACTTCCTTCGATCATATCCCATCTTGATAAATGATAACGACCTCACGTCGTGACCGAACCCTGGAATCATGAGATTTGGATTTGGATCGGAACATTTTTTAGGTCGGATAGGAACACATGGTCGCAGTTAGAACAATCACTATATTTTAATATATCTTAAAAAATATTCGATTCACTCTATATCACTCTATATCACTCTCTCTCTCTATATCTATATATATATATCACTGTTTGTAGCTATAGAACTATAGTGATAATTATTCATACACCATCCATCCATCCATCCATCCATCCATCCATCCATACATACTGGCGCTTTTTAAATAATCCATCCCTATTTTGTGGAAATCCACCATTCTTTTCCATCTTGTGGTATGGATCATACTACCACAGGACCATCTGAAATCCATCCTTTGTAGAATTTTCCAATAGATATCGGATATATATCGGATTACATCCCATCATATCCCAAACAGAATCCCCATGATATCGTCCAAATCCTAATTTTTCCTATTTTAAATCATCAGTTTTCATGGTAAATCCATGCAACAATTGGATTTTAACAGGTTGTTCTACCAGTTTTACGTGTTTTATTTTTTTCGGATTTTCCCAGAGATTTGGACTCAGAACTGCCCGGTTCCGTCACCGTCCAAGGCTCTCCCGTTATGGGCAATGGCTGCAGCTCGGTGCAAAATGGTGGGTTTTTTTGGTGTACGTTGACCTGGTAAACATAGAAAAAAACGATGGGAAAACCACCATTTTTTAATGGGAAAATCCACTATAAATTGCCATTTTCAATAGCTATGTTGGTTTAAACCACCACCTTTCATAGATAAATCAACTTTTTGTTCAATAGCGAAATTATGTATGTTTACCAGAGGGTAATCTAGATATGATTGGATTTCTTAATCCAAGAAAAATGGTGTAACAATCCACCAGGGATCGGGTAATCTTCATGTTCTTTTCTGGATTACATCAAGATGGGTTCTAAAGAATCCAGTTGTTGCTGATGTAATCCAGAAACGGGTTGATGATTAGTTGGAACTTATTCTAGCTGGTTCCGGGGAGTATCAAAACCGATATGTCAATGGAATACCTGTTTGCCAACCAGTCTTGCATGGGATACGTACATTTTTCATAGCCAATTTGTTGGCGATTGTTTACCGTAACATGCAAAAATATATGGAACCCGCATGAGAACCAGGAAATTATCTTTGTTTTTGGGTAAAAAACAATTGGAAACACGGTTGCAGATTTTACGAGTCCTATTCACGAGTCCTATTCCTATTGAGCATGCGTCAAATCCCGATTTTTGGCTTGTTGAATCGCAGTAATTTCGTTCGCAAATACTGCTTAAAGCAGGAATCACATACAGATTCTATATACATACATATACATATACATACATTCTGGGTAATTTATAACGACCTCACTGCGACCTCACTGGGAATCATGGTTAATAAGGAAAATCATCATGGCCTTAATTCAGGTTAGTGAATCACTATAATTTACCCGGATACATCCAAGAAATATCAAAGAAATCCGATGAATTTCAAATCCAGTATCTGGTCTATTGAAAGTTGTCGCTTGATATGTCACTTATGAATCACAGTTAAACCAGTTACGAGTTCACTGGGTCGCACATCCCAGTACTGATTCTTTCAAAACTGTACATTCGGGTTTCTCTGAAAATGGGGTACCCTCTGGTTATGTCAAACAGTTTGCTATTGAACATGACCATAGAAATAGTTGAATTTCCCATTGAAAATGGTGATTTTCCATCGTTTTTTGTAGGTTTACCAGAGGCTACCCCAGGTACTGGCCATAGGAATAATCGATTTACCTATCAAAAATGGAGATTTTCCAGTTCGCTACGTTAGTTTATCAGAGGGTACCTCCCCAAATAATCCATCAATCATCGGGGGTGTCAGCATAGGGCCATTAGGGGGCCCCATCGCAACGGATAAAAAATCACCATGGTTGTAATAGCTGATCTATTCTCATGTTTAAGAATCATAGTACTTATAATTTATTGATCTATAATTAACGGATCTACTAATGTTTAACAATCTATAATGGATCTAATAATGGATCTATAATGTTAATATGTGATAATTCATCAAACATCAAACAGATGTCAACCACTGATACTCCCACTCCTCTCACTCGCAGGGCCATGGATTCTTTGCGACCCACGGTGCAGCAGCTCATGAAATACTTCGCCAAGCATACTGAGATCCCGAACGCTGTCGGACTCCCTGGTGAGGGCGAAGTTTTTCTGCCGGGAATCTGCCCAAAAAATTGGTGAAGATCCGGATGGAAAAATGGTAGATCCTTAGTAAAGGGTCCATTGTCAGTGAAATTCCCATTGAGTGCTTGATGATTTTAAGCGGATCAATCTATCCATTGGAATTCATGGGAAAGAATTGGATCTTTTTGTAGCTAGTTTCGATTGGAATGCAAAGAACATGGGACGGATTTAGCAGAATTTTAGGGTAAGAACCTTGGTTGACTAGTCGTTAAGAAGGGTTTAACCAACATGTCTAGCTGTCTTATATAATCATCAATAATATGGGATACAATTCAGAAAATACTACCTAATTTTCATCTAATATTATACCCCATATTATTGATATATTTTATCATGGTGGATAAATTTCCCCTACAATAGAGTAAAATCATCAATATTAGGTTGATTTATGATTGTGATTTATAATGTTGGATTAGTATTATAACACCATATTTAATATATAAGACCCCGGATATCTATAATGTTGATTGATGATTGTAGGGGTGGATTTTATACTAACTAATTTTCATCGATTCCTAGGAGCCATGGACAAGTGGATAAGAAAAACGATCCATACAGGATGGGTCCCCAAGTTGGTTTCCAGTTGTAAGTTGGTTTATAAACCCATTAAAAATAATTATGGTTAACCAACTATGGTTTACGGTAGATTTAACTATAGTTAATGGAGTTTATAAACCATTAACTATACTTATATCTACCATAACTATAGTTAAGCCACTTATGTTCGGCAACTGAACGCTAACTATGGGGCACCATCCTGTAGAATTGAGCAGCTAAAAAAAGTGAACGCCGGATTTTTTTTCTGGACATGACAGACTCAATTCATCTCAATTCCCAGCTTTGGCGTTGGACATGGACCCAGACAAGGGAATCATAAGCCATTGATCGAACTGAGCCATTGATCGCACTATCTCCGTTTCAATGGATTGGTTTTCACGGGAAAATCTTAAGCGGAAACCCATGGGTTTTTACCATGAAGATCATAGGGCTTTTTTTCCTGTAGTTATTTCCATCATCCAATTCTTTGACTGTTGATTGGTTAAAACCTGAGAATTGTGTTTTTCTACCTGATTGATTGGGGATTATGAACTGACCTATTTTGGGGTACTTTTCATCGATCAACTGAAGATAGTCATATGACTGGCTCATAAGCTGATTATTTTCCCATTTCAGACTGGAATGCGAATGCAAGGCATTGGGGTTTGCTGAGTCGAGTTTTTTCCAAACGATTTTTACATTGGAAGAAATCACCAAACGGAATCTGTAGGGAAGACTAATTGTCTTTTAGTGCCATCTCAAGCAAAATCCAGAATGGTTGGGAAATCATGATATTTTTTCGAATACAATCGGGTGAAGCTGACATAATCTTTCAATGGTTTTTTTAACAATGGAGACAGCATCGAAACGCATTGTGGTTGTTTTTTTTAGTCAGGATTCATACATCCATAAAGCCATGATTCATATGAGGAATATCATCTATCTGGGTAAATTATAACGACCTCAGTGGACCTCACTGGGAATCATGGTTAATACGGGAAATCATCCCCAAATGGCCTTAATTCAGGTTAGTGAAATATTATGATTTACCCAGATGATTTGAGTAATGACTATTTACTGGGTCCTTTATTAAACTGGGGCTTCTTCATCCACAATTGATATCACTTCAAGGCCACAGCATGCCACAGTGGGGAAAAAAACTCCATTTATGGACATCGTCTCAGTTGGAAAGTCACCAAAATTTGAGAGGGTCTATGTTAGCTGGATTTAAGGTGTATGTATATATATATATAAAATAAAATAATATATATATATTAAAATAGAAAATATATAAAATCTAATTTATAATATATAATATATATAATATAATATATAATATAATATTATATATATATACTGTAATATAATAATATATGTATATATATAATGTTATATAGATAATTATATATAATACAATATTTATATTATTATAATGATAATGACAATAAATACTAATAACAATGACAATAATAAGAATATTTAATAATAATTATTATTAATAATAATGCTAATATAATATTAATAAAAATAATCAATAATACTGAAAATACTAGATATAGTGATAATAATAATCTATATAATAATGATAATGATAAATAATAATAATGATAGTAATAATAACATAAATAATAGTGATATATATATATATACATATTATAGAGGTGATGGCTTACCGTAGGCTTATCAACCGCTTTTTCGGTTGCACCGAAACTAGTCAGATGGGGACAATTTTTAGTGCAGAAATCAACTATTTCTATGGCCATTTTTCTATAGAGACGTTAAAGATACGTTAAATTACCAGAGGGTATACACTATATTATCCATATATTAGTATATCAATATGAATTGTTAGTACATATTATCCTCAATTGTTAGTAAGGCGATTTGTTTTTTGATGGTTATACATAGACGTGATGAAGATCAGGCAGTATCACCAATCTTCAGCCATAATTACTGGATTATATCACCATATCTGGGTAAATTATAACGACCTCTCTGCGACCTCACTGTAATAATGGTTCGTAAGGATATCTTCAAATGGCTTTATTTCAGCCAAGTGAATTATAGTAATTTGCCCAGACCATATTAGATATACACTGTATATACCCTCTGGTAAACGTTTACATAGCTATGGAAAATCACCATGCTATCAATGGGAAAATCCACGAACTAAATCACCATTTTCAATAGCTATACTAGACATAACCAGAGGGTATATCCCATTAATATCCCATTAAATCACTATAAAATCCCATTAAATCACTATAAAATCCCATCAAACCACTATAAAATCCCATTAAACCACTATAAAATCTCATTTTACCCTGGTTATATATGTTTGATTTAACCAGGGTTGACATCAGTAGCTTACCTGGTCCACCAGGGTGAAACACCACCAGGGCGACAGCTGTCGTTCTCCAGACGACCGCATGCGACGGCTGAGCGTCTTGAGATGCTGTCAGACGGGGAAGGTGCGCTGGGAAATGCTAAAAGATCTGCAACTGGTATAATCCTGGTATTACTATTAGTATTACTATCTAGTTATTGTTATTGTTATCTAGTATCCTGGTGCAACTGCTATTGTTATCTAGCATTACTATTAAACTTTATGATTACTATATCACTGTTATGATGATGTACATTATTAGATCTGCAATAATCTTGGTATTACTATTAGACTTTATGATAATCTAGTATTAGTCTGGTATAATTAGTAGTATACCAAGTAATGCTAATATTATTGTTATCTAGTATTACTATTAGACTTTATGATTACTATATCACTGTTATGATTATTACTATTAATAGCATATTATCAGTGTTGCTATTATTCATGTCATTACCCTCTGGTAAACATACAAAAAACTATGGAAAATCTCCATTTTCAATGGATAAATCCACTATAAATCACCATGTTCAATAGCTATTTTGACATAACCAGAGGGTATTATTAAATTAGTAAATAGAGATTTCATGGGATCCATTGGCATTGTCTTAGGCAAAAACCTGGCTGGGATTCATGGTGTAGACCAAGCCCCAGGGTTGTTTTGATGTGCGGGACCCTGGCATCGTAGCCTCTGGTAAACATACAAAAAATGATGGAAAATCACTATTTTTAACGGGTAAATCCATGTAAATACGCTATTTCTATGGCCATTTTCAATAGCAAACTGTAAACGTTTACCAGAGGGTAAGTGGTTTTGAACCCATATTCTTTTGACCCATTCATCGAACTGGGGATATCATCCATTCATCGAGTTGTGGGGTAGGTTTTTTTCTCGGTTTCGGCGAACGCTCACAGCCGACGAAAGGTTCATTGGAATTGTGGATTTTTCCACCGAAAAAAATTACCCTCTGCTAAACTAACGTAATTATGGAAAATCACAATTTTTAATGAGAAAATCCACTATAAATGGTCAATTTCAATAGCTATGTTGAATTACCAGAGGGTAACGGAAACTCCAGAGATTTTTATCGCAAATGGATGGGGATGCATCCGACTAGCCGCAGCTGGTAACTATGAGAAATAGCCGAATAGCCACGGATCTCCAGGAAGCGACAGAGTGGTACAGTGACGTGGTAAACCCAATGCCAGATCAATGGGAGAATTTCAGGATCCGATTCAATGGAGGTACTGGTACTGTACCATATTTCTGGCCATACCTGGGGATATTCCCTGAAATTTAGGCCTTATATATGGAATCGGTACCTCCAATCAATCGGATCCTGGAATGGCCATATATAGATGGAATCGGTAGCTCCAATCAATGGGATGATCTGTTGCTCTTTTTGAGGCATGTGCCAGGGGATTTACAACCAACCACATAATATTTTAATGGCTTTTTACATTAGATATAATTTTAAGGGGATTATCTAAATATATGAGTTTATTATCTTAATATCTAATAAGCCAGTCATTAAGTATTAATATCTAAAATAAGCCATAAGCCGCATTATTAAGATATTAATACTTCATATTAATTAATACTTAAAATATCTTAAAATAAACCATAAGGAATATCTATTATTTACAACCAAGCATTAGTCACTCAGATGGACCGTCGCATGGGATTCAACATCAGCAGGGTTACTTGCCAGTAGCTGTGCTGGGAAAATCATGGGACCAAACGGAGGGATTTTTTTCCGTTGCCACGTTTGATTGCCTTTGAAACGACATCGTAGCCTCTGGTAAACATACAAAAAACGATGGAAAATCACTATTTTTAATGGGAAAATCCACTATTTCTATGGCCATTTTCAATAGCTATGTTAGTTTACCAGAGGGTACCTAGCAAGGATGCACTCTGACCCACATTTTCACCAAACATTGGTATTTAAAAACCCTTGGAATGATATTTGATGACACTGGCTAACATGGGTTTCACCCAAATCTTGAGCTTAAGCCGTGCGCTCACCAAGAGAATTCCTCATTTGACAAACCAAAACTGGAAGATACTGTACCAGGTTCCAGGCAGAATTCACTTTATTGAATGGTCAGAACAAGCGTTTTTGGATTTTGCATCTGTAGTTCTTGTCTGTGAAATCTACTTTTTATTGGCTGCAGTATTCTACATCGTCTCTTCATGTTGGCTCAATCCTCATGTGTGTTCGTCAAATCACAGCAGTTATGGGTTTATATCACCATTTTTTCAACTTTAGGAACCGCCAGGCACTCATTTGGCCGGTTTGAGCACCTATTTTGAACAGGTAAATCATCAAATCAGTTGTTTTTTTGGGACTTAGGGCATACAATTGACCAGATCATAGCATTTTGAATCCGAAGTCTTGCATGTTTGATGTGGTTGACCCAATCCTCAAATACTTGCAGTTTCTACCAGTTTCTACCAGTTTCTACTTACTACTTAAAGCCCACTAATGATTGCTATTGTGCTACCAACAACAGCCCTGTGCTGTCATCATTACAATCATATGGGGTTTATCAATCACTAACCAACAACAATGTATTAATGATATAATGCTGATATGGGTGTGTCTGAAAATAGTGTACCCCTAAACCCAATGGTTAATGATCATTATCCCTATTAAATGGCTATAATTGGGAATATACCCTATTTTCAGACAAACCCATATAATGTGCTGTGCACCAATTGATGATGATAATGTTTTTACCATCACGTGCCGCACAGGTTTTCATCAAGAGCCCCATGGCCTCAACAACACAATTAGTGTGGGTAAAAGAATGCCATGTTCACCAGCCATGACTGGGAATGGTGTTTAAATAGCACCTATTTATGTATGGTGATGACTGGGGGAAGGTTTATGAAATTGTTTTACCCACATGAAATATCAAGTTGCATCATTCTTTTTCACCAACTTTTTGTGGTTGATAAGTGGTTTATAAGCCATGAATCTAGGGATAATCCACTATAACCCACTCGTCTAACCGGGGTGTTTTATTCCCCCAGCTATGTCAGCTATGTTTCTTGGTTTCTAAACCGGAGTAGCTATATATAGATCTATATGGTAGTAGTATGTATATGACCATTTGCCAACAAAAAAGTGACAGAAGTCTTGTACCAGTTGTTTCTAGACCATAGTAACTATATATATACATGTGCCTATATATATGTATATCTACATATATGTAATGTTGATAATATGTATATAGTAGCTGTATACAGTAAATATGATAGTAAACGTATATAATTAGTTCATTATTAGTTCACTATCACCATAAAACCAACAAAACCGCTTGGAAATTCCAAACCGAAGGGCGATGAAGTGGACCTGGTTGTGTCCTTTGTCGCGCTCCTGCGCGCCTACGGCAAGCGTGCGCGGCTGGTGAGGAGCTTCCAATTAAGGCTTCCCGGAGGAGGGAAGTAGGGAGATTTCATGGATTTTAAGGTGATTTGAGAGTTATTCATATAAATAATAATATACATATACTATGGCCATAGTATATATATATGTGATCATATATATATATATACATGATTATATATATATGATTATATATATATATGATTATATATATATGATTATATATATATGATTATATATATATGATTATATATATATGATTATATATATATGATTATATATATATATATATGATTATATATATATGATTATATATATATATGATTATATATAAAAAAAATAATACATAATATAGACATATACATATATATAGACATATATATATATACATAATTCATGGGACATCATTTCGAAATCTGGTTCGTCAAATCCAGTTCAAATGCGGAAGTCATCCCATTTATCTGTGGATAAAATCCAGAAAAATTGGTTTGGGGTCATTGTTCAGATTTTTTCTTGCATTTTTGCTGCTGCAATCCCAATCCTTGTTGCTAAAACAATGCCATTTTCTGAATCCAAAACATCTACCCTCTGGTAAACATACAAAAAGCTAACTGGAAAATCACCACTTTTAATAGGTAAATCAATCACAACTGGGCCATGGCTTCCATAGCAAACTGTTAAATTACCAGAGGGTAACGTGTTTGATTTTTTTCATTTTTTGCAGGTGAACCCAAGGTGATTTTTTGAAATGTCATGACATGGGATGTTATCCCCAGTGGTTGGTGAATGGGTTTAACTTGGATTTATGATATTTATTGGGTTACCATTGTAACCACATTGATATAATGCTTATGAATGCTTATGATTAGTGGTTAATTGATGTTAATGGCTACCAATGTTGATTGGTTGGTGATATTTATCATCATAGTGATCCAGGTTGAGTGATTTCATAGAGGCTCAATCATCATTGATCAGGTTTATATACGGGTGAAACTGGCCCAATGCCAGAAACCATCCTCAAGTCATCACCACCAGTCATGGGAGTTGTTGGGCAGCCAGGGTTGCCCACATTTTTCACAGCAGGTTGGAACTCCTGAGCATGGTGCGGCAGTTAGGGGGCGATGCCTCCTTCAAAACCCAGAGTCTGATGGGACACTGGGCCGTGAAGCCAGTTGAGCAGTGTGAAATAAATCCCTCTATCATTCCAATCCTGGTTGGTTAAGAACGGGATTCCATCCGTTCTTGGCTTATTGTAATCCCCAATACATGAAGGGTAGTATAATCCCCGAACTAATCATCAACCAACAGGGGTTTTTGAACACTGCTCAGTTTTTTATGTTGGCTGGGATTTGGTCCGATTTTGGGACTTTCTGTGAGGATGAGATGTTGGGATTTTCAGGGGCCCATTCAAAAAGATCCATTGCATAGATAGCTAAGTTGATGCAAATAACTTGGTGAGGGGTTTGGGGGGACATAACTAAAGTTAAGAAGGGTTTATAGACTAACATACCCTCTGGTAATTTAACAGTTTGCTATTGAACATGCGTTTTTTTTTTTAAATAGATGATTTACCATGTTTTGCTTATTAAAAAGGGTGATTTTCCAGTTCACTATGTGAGTTTACCAGTGGGTAAAGGCACTGCAAATGTCGCAGTTGATGGACTTTGAACATCATCAGATGGTTTGAGTCATTTTTCCCGAATGCGTAGCAAGGGTTCCCGTTTCACTCTGGGGGTCTGGGGGTTGGAGTGTGTTCGCTCGACGTTGCGTCCGCGTCCGCAACCGTCCGCAACCGTCCGCAACCGTTCGCAACCGTCCGCGCGAGGACCGTATGGCCGTGCCTATGGGAAGTTCTGCAGAGGTGGTAATTTTTGGAGGTTTCAGACGTGTCGTTGCTTCGTTTCGCGTGGCAGGCGTGGCACTTCGTGACATTCAGACGTGTTCTGGAACGTGTCGAAAGTCGTTTTGCGTGGCAGGCGCAATACTTTTGCGACGTTTTCAGAAGATGTGTTGCAGTTTTCGTGGCAGGCGCAGCACTTTGGACGTGTCCATCGCCATTTTTCGTGGCAGGCGCAGCACTTTAGACGTGTCATGTTGCGTGTTTTTTGCAAATCGCATTGGCAGGGCTGCGTCAAGTGGCGACAAGGTGCAAATTCCGTGGTAGGCGTGGCATTTTCTGACATGTGCTGAAAATTGACGGAAGCCTCGCACGAAACATCGATTTTGAGGTTGGAAATTTTCACGTTCTAAGGAAAACTCGTAGGAAAACGTCGATTTTGAAGCTACAAAGTGTGAAAATTGGAGGAAGTCTCGCACGAAATGCTCGTTTTGGTGCTCCCACGTGTCTCGTCTCGAGTCTCTGGTTTCCCTGTGGCCTCGCCGTGTCTATGGGGGAAGCTGGAAAACATGTTCTTGCGGCATGTTTCAAACTATGAAAATTGGAGGAAGTCTCGTACGAAATGCTGTTTTTCTGCATCCACGTGTCTTGTCTCGAGTCTCTGGTTTTCCTGTGGCTTCGCCGTGTCTATGGGGGAAGCCGCAAAACCTCTCCTTTTCGAAGGTTTCCAAGCAGCTTGTCATGTCGTTTTGCGTGGCAGGCGTGGCACTTTGTGACATTCCAACCTGTTTGATAACGTGTCGAAAATGTCAAAATTGGAGGAAGTCTCGCACGAAATGCTCGTTTTTCCTGCACCCACGTGTCTCGTCTCGAGTCTCTGGTTTTCCTGTGGCTTCGCCGTGTCTATGGGGGAAGCTGCAAAACTTCTCCTTTTCGAAGGTTTCCAAGCAGGTTGTCACGTCGTTTTGCGTGGCAGGCGTGGCACTTTGTGACATTCCAACCTGTTTGCTAACGTGTCGAAAATGTCAAAATTGGAGGAAGTCTCGCACGAAATGCTCGTTTTTCCTGCACCCACGTGTCTCGTCTCGAGTCTCTGGTTTTCCTGTGGCTTCGCCGTGTCTATGGGGGAAGCTCCGCACTCCACACTCTACACTTTTTACACTCCACAATCTACACTTTAGACTCCACACTTTACACTTTACACTCCACACTTTGCACTTTACACTCCTCACTCCTCACTCGAGACTTTACACTCCACACTCCACACTTTACACTCCACAGTCCCCACTCTACACTTTACACTCTACACTTTACACACTACACTCCACACTCCACACTTGACATTTTACACTCCAGACTTTACACTTTACACTCTTCACTCCACACTTTACACTTTACACTCCACACTCCTCACTTTACACTCCACACTCCTCACTTTACACTCCACACTCCACACTTGACATTTTACACTCCCGACTTTACACTTTACACTCTTCACTCCACAACACTTTACACTCCACACTCCTCACTTTACACTCCGCACTCCTCACTTTACACTCCACACTCCACACTTCTCACTTTACACTCCGTACTCCTTCCACTCCACACTCCACACTCCACACTCCACACTTTACACTCCACATTCCACACTCCACACTTTACACTCCACATTCCACACTCCACAATTTACACTTTAGACTCCTGACTCCACACTCCACACTCCACACTACACTATACACTCCACACTCCACAATTCACACTTTACACTCCACACTCCACACTCTACACTTTACACTCTACACTTTACACCCTACATTCCACACTTTACACTTTACACACTCCAGACTCCTCACTCCATCCACACTTTTCCATTCCACACTCCCACACTCTCACTTTACACTCCACACTCCACAACCCTACACTTACACTACACTCCGCACTCTCCACACTTTTACACTCCACACTCCACACTCTCCACACTCACACTTTCCACCCACATCCACACTTTACAAACTCCACACTCTCACTTTACACTCCGCACTCCACACTCCACATTTACACTCCGCACTCCTCACTTTACACTCCACACTCACCCACTACCTTTACCTCCACTCTTCCACCCCACCACCTCCACACTCTACACTTTACACTCCACACTCCACACTTTACACTCCACACTCTACACTTTACACTCCACACTCTACACTTTACACCCTACACTTTACACTCTACGCTCCACACCCCACACTCTACAATTTACACTCCTCACTCCACACTCCACACTTTACACTCCGCACTCCTCACTTTACACTCCACACTCCACACTCCACACTCCACACTCTACACTTTCCACCCCACACTCCCCGCACTCTACACTTTACACTCCACACTCCACACTTTACACTCCACACTCTACACTTTACACTCCACACGCTAACTCCACACTCCACACTGCAGACTGGTAACAGGGGAAATATGTACAAGACTGTTCAAATAAACTATTGCAGAAAAGTGTTCTGCGTGATTGCATATCCATGTGTTTTGACATCTGCGCCATTAACATACGTGTGAGCATTCGGGTTCGTGGGCTGCATCTTGTTTTAATCCATCACTTGGCCAGCTGGTTGAAATTCACATGCTCATACGCTAAAATCCAATGATTTACTGGTTGGTGGTTTGGAACATAAATTTTATGACTTTCCATTATATTGGGAATAATCATCCCAACTGACTTTCATATTTTTCAGAGGGGTTGAAACCACCAACCAGCAATTATTTATTTTGTGATCGATGTTATTATTATTGTTATTATTATTACTGGTTGGTGGTTTGGAACATTTTCTATTTTCCATATACTGGGAAGAATAATCCCAACTGACGTTCATTTTTTTCCGGGTTCCAATGATCCGACTTCTGTGGAGTGGTTTTTCACTCCAAACAAGCTCGCCTTTCACAAAAATGAACGGATTCCTGGTTTCACTCGCAATCTGGTTGTTGAGGGCCCTAGCAATCTCGCGGGCCAAGCTCGCCCTACGTTTAGATATGGCTTGGATCATGGCAAAAATGGAGAAGTTGTAACAGGTTGCTATTGAAAATTGCAATTTATAGTGGATTTACCCATTAAGAATGGTGATTTTCCATAGTTATGTTAGTTTACCAGAGGGTACCTTCTAGCAATCAAGCATGGCACACTGGAAATCCCCGGGAATGATCATCTAATGTGGTTAAAACAATGCCATAAACCATCCATTTGGGAATGGTTGATAGCACCTATAAACATGGTGATTTGGGACGGTTTATTATTGTTTTAACCACATTATATAAAATTTGGGATGTTCAATTGCCATGTTTGATTACCGTATCTGATTTTGCCCGGAATGATATGGAGATCTATTAACCCAACAATATGGTGGGATGATTCTCATCAATAAGCTGGAATTCTGCTTTGTCAGTGGGAATTTGGGATAATTGTGAATTTGGTTTATTTCTTAGGTGAGTGGGTACCCTCTGGCAATCAAGCTCAAGCCTGGTTTGCTGGAAAATATATCATTTATAGATTATGTTCTTATTAAATCCCTCCACCTATAATGGATTTGCCAGCTTACCATGTTTGATGACACCGGAGGGGATATGAAACGGATGACCTCATCAAAAATACAGCACCCCACCTTGGAACCTCCCTATGAGGATCAACCCCCGTCCCTGTTGAAACACGTTTTCATCCCACCCCACAAGGATATGTCCGCACTGAGGGGTTAGATCAGGGTACGCTCTCTGGGTCCCAGCCTTTTTTCCTGAGAATTCTCGCATAAAAATGCCCTTCTGCGATGTCCATGTCCATTTCGATTGCGCAGGATGGCACAAAGTGATCATCCCGGTTTGGCTGGGGCTCGTTTTCCGTGGCAGGCGCAGTACTTTGAAGACCTCGACAAATCCTTCTGCGATGTGCATGTGCGTTGCGCAGGCTCGCACAGAGTTAGGGTACGCTCTCTGGGGCGCGTCATTTCTCCTTTAAATCCGGCACAAACAGAGCAGTCGCGACTGCTGCTGTGCCGTTTGTCTTGCGGGAAAAAGTGCTTGAAATCAGGGATTTCGGCTTCTCCGCTGGGCGACCTGCATGTCTAGTGTTTCCTTACCACATTACCCTCTGGTAAACTAACATAGAAATGGAAAATCACCATTTTTAATGGGAAAATCCACTATAAATGGCAATTTTCAATAGCTATGTTAGTTTACCGGAGGGTACCACACAACCCCCCTTCCCCACATTGGGGTCGGTGTAATTTTCCGCCAGAGCCGAGGTGAACTGGGCGTTGGGCTCTCTGTGAGCCTAGCTGCGGAGAAGGCATCTCTTCCAGAGGCAGGGGTTTTCCACAAAACTTGTGGAATTTTTGGTTCCCCCCAGAATGTTGGCCTTCCAGTTTTGCGGATTTTCAGCTTTTCTTCGGATTTTCCAATGTTGGATCAAAATAGTTGTTTTTTCATGAGCCACAAACATGGAGGATTTTTGGCCAAAGAAAGGGAACGTGTATTTTCACCCCAAACTTGGATGTGTGCCCGCAACTTGGATTTTCATCGAAAGGATTTCAAGCAATATATACAATGTGGGCCCCCCCAGATATAAGATGGTTTATAAACCCCATGAATACTATAGTTATAGGTACCATAAACCATAGTTATTGGAGTTATAAACCAACGTAGCTATCTAGGGGGCCCCACTTTGTAAACACTATGGATTTTTAGTTTGCACGCAAAATTTGGAGTTCACACACTTGCAAAAACATGTGGGATTACCATGATTGTGCTTTTCACATTGTTTTTAAACAAATGTGTTTTGGTTTAAACCCCAAATGTGATTCCAGTATCACTATCAAAAACCATGGAATTGTCCTCCCAAATTGTGAGCAATCTGGGTCTACATTGGGTGTGTTTATTTTTGGCCCAGTAGTGAATGATCAAATGCCATAATTCATAGGCCTATGATAATTCATCAAACATGATTTTAAAAATCCACCACTGGGACTGATGATTTTCATCCGTGGGAAAAAACCATCCATTCTTTACCTGAATGTATTACTATTGGTCATTTCACTCATCTGGGATTGGTTTAAATTCCCATAGACACCCAATGAAAAAGTGGTGACTATCCCCCGATCGATGTCCCGTTCCCGTTGCTGCCCGTTGACCAAGTTACGACAACAAGTGAAGGGACATCCTCAAAAGGAACTCAGTTCAGGTTGGTTAATTCTTGGAATTCAACCAAAATTCTGTTTTGACATTTTTCACACTCCCAATGGACAGGTTTAAAAAAATGGAGAAAACACCAAATTCAATCATGTTTGCTTAGTAATCCATTGCAAAACTTGCAGACAAATCGTTTGTCAAACCACGTCAAACCGTCAAACCCCTGTACTAAATGGTATTTTTTAAATATTTTTTAATGACATGTTCACAAGAAAAACTATCTTCCTAAATCCATTGTCACCATCTTACATACTAATCCATTTGCTGGTCAATATCTGACATGAGGATGGGTCAAACGCTATTACCAGAATTGGGGGAACACACATCCATTGACCAACTATTTTCTAGGGTACAGGATGGTGCCCCCCAGTTACAAGTTGGTTTATAAACCCCATTAACTCTAGTTATCTATTGTTGTATCTACCATACACCATAGTTCATTCAGTCACAACCATCTTCGGCAACTGAACGCAACAACGAATCAACGGGCACCATCCGGGTTGGGTTTCCGCCCAGTCATCATCCAAGTCACCAAGGGACCATGACTTCCGACTCGTTTTTTGGCCCAGCCATAACGTGACGACGGTGGGCGTAAGCCATAGTAGAAAACTAGTTGGTTTATAAACCCCATGAACTCTATAGTTAAACTATAGTATTGAAACCCCAGGACCATTAACCCTTAGTATTGAAACCCCATGTTAGGAAACCTCCCTAAGTACATCATCCAACTTCATGGGCCGCTTCCTGGAAGCTACGGTGGACCAAATCCTGCGATTGAAATCATGGGAGTTGAACGACAATTTCCACCAAGAAACTGGTACAATCTTTCGCAACCATCCACAGTATAGCATCCCCCAAAAAAGATGCCGATTTAAGTGTTTCCAGGATGGTGTTTTGTTCATCTTTTCCCAATATTTTCGAGGTTTCGAGTTCTTTTAACGGCATTTCTGTTTGCGGGTTGCCTTTCTGGAGATTTCCATTTGGTCATGCGAAAACTGCCAGTTATCAGGACACCTCCATTTTGCTTAGAATCATCCCACATTGTACTTACCAGTAGTACCGCACAAGGCGGTGGCGGAAGTTTCAAAAATAGGAAACCTATAGGAGAGATTGGTTGTTGTGAATCAGGGATGGCAGAGCGAATCCACTGCTGGACCGAAAGGTGCTTGAGGTCTCCTCTCTTTCTCTCTCTTTCTCTGACTATCTACCTACCTACCTATCTATTTTCTATGTATCTATCTATCTATCTATCGATCGATCTATCTATCTATCTATCTATCTGACTATCTGTGGTGCAGTGTCATTCAGTGTAATGTAGTGTAGTGTAATGTAGTGTATTGGAGTGTGGTGGAATGTAGTGCAGTGTAGTGCAATGTAGTGTAGTGTAGTGTAGTTTAGTGTAGTGGAGTGTAGTTGTGTTGTCGTAGTTGTAGCTGTAGTGTAGTGGAGTGTAGTGTAATGTAGTGAAGTGTAGTGGAAGGTAGTGTAGTGTAATGTAGTGTAGTGTAGTGGAGTGTAGTGTAGTGTGGTGTAATGTCGTGTAGTGTAGTGTAATTTAGTGTAGTGGAGTGTAGTGGAGTGTAGTGGAGTGTAGTTGTGTAGTTGTGGTTGAAGTGGAGTGTAGTGTAGTGTAATGTAGTGAAGTGTAGTGGAAGGTAGTGTAGTGTAGTGTAATGTAGTGTAGTGTAATGTAGTGTAGTGTAGTGTAATTTAGTGTAGTGGAGTGTAGTGGAGTGTAGTTGTGTAGTTGTCGTTGTAGTGTTGTGGAGTGTAGTGTAGTGTAATGTAGTGTAGTGTAGTGGAGTGTAGTGTAGTGTAGTGAAGCGAAGCGAAGCCACATCTGAACCTCCAAAAGTGGTCCGAACCCCTAGTGTTTTTAACATTTTGACTTCGAAATGTGCTTCGCGCCACAACCGCGTGCACTTTTTCGACATCTGAACCTCCAAAAGTGGTCCGAACCCCTGGTGGTTTTAACCTTTTGACTTCGAAATGTGCTTCGCGCCACAACGGCGTGCACTTTTTCGACATCTCAACTGCCAAAAGTGGTCCGGAGCTGGTGTGTTTTGTACATTTTGACTTCGAAATCTGCTTCGCGCCACAATGGCGTGCACTTTTTCGACATTGCAACTTCCAAAAGTGGTCCGGAGCTGGTGTGTTTTGTACATTTTGACTTCGAAATCTGCTTCGCGCCACAATGGCGTGCACTTTTTCGACATTGCAACTTCCAAAAGTGGTCCGACAATGGTGTGTTTTGTACTTTTTGACTTCGAAACGTGCTTCGCGCCACAACGGCGTGCAATTTTTCATCTCTCATCTGGCCAGATGGCTCCGCACCCGCCGCTTTAGCGAGCCTACTTTTCGACCCTCCGGAGCCACAAATCATTGAAAAACACACTGTTTCGCGACTTTCCTACCTTTTCGCGCACCTGGACCTTCTTTCTTCTGACTCTTTCTCTTCTCTGACCTTCTCTCTTCTGTGACTCTGCCCATCTCTACTTTTCATCTGTCCATATTGTCGGAAGTTTGACTTCTAAACTTCCTTCGATCATATACTGTATATATATATATATACACCCATTATATTCCATTATTTTAAGCTGGTTGGTGGTTTCAAACATGATTTTTATTTTCCATTTCATATATGGGATGTCATCCTTCCCATTGACTTTCATATTTTTCAAGATTGTTAAAACCACCAACCAGATTATTATTAACCATCATTAACCATATAATAACCATATAATAACCATATATGAACCATTGTTAACAGTATATTCACAGTTGATTTTCTCATTTCAAGATGGTTAAAACCACTAACCAGTAAGTATAGTTACTATGCGATCCCCACTATGTTGAGCTGAAACATTTTGCTTCGTTGAACCAGCGGTGAAGTTTCTCGGCTTGAGGCAGACTATGCTGATTGTTTGGCCTATGCTTGTGTGGCACTTAGGGGCCCAGGACATGGTGCTTTCCATAGTGGGGTACCCCCAATAGCTGCATGGTTTATTCAATGGAAATTAAAATGGATGAACGCTGGGAGTACCACCATTTACGCGTCGGGCTGGCAGAAGCTCGCGCGTGTTTTTGGGGGGTGCATGATCAAATCTGCTGTGTTTTACAGGGTTTTTGTCTTGCTGGAGTTTAGAAGAGCAAAACAAACTAACTTTTTGAAGGCACAAACCATGTGTATATCTGTATATATATATATATACACACATATATTGTGACAGCTAATACGTCATACAAAAACATATAGGATCAATAACATGTTGGTACATCAACATCATTCTTTTTTAACACCAGCCTATAATGAAACCACATCAAGTTTGTTACGAATTGACTTCATATTGGTACAATGGTTCATAGGTTATTTTCTTGACCCACCTTTGCCATTACATGATCATAATCATCAACATGTTTGCTTGCTGCAACATCCCATTTTGTTGTTGTTCCTACAATAAAATAACCCGACTTAAAAAAGAGTCGAATATGTCAACCGCCGACACGGAGAGCAAGATGAACAATGCATGATGGATTGTCATGTGGTGTCATCCAGCAAGCAACCGGTGATCATCCGTTTCATCGATTCTGTTGGGGACCATCGGTTGTATTTGGAACCCTGGAAGTGAAGTTATGAAGGACGTGGGGATGGTTTCTGTAAGCCCCATGTTGTGCATGACATGGACGCAACAGGTTTGGACGTTATTGTTCCGCTCCCCCCCACCCCCCCAAACCACCAAAGATGCATTTCGTATTGCGGTTTTCTACCAGCCCAACACCTTTTAGGAACCCCCCTATGTGGCCCTGGGACGCTGTTTATGGGATTTTATAGTGGTTTAATGGGATTTATAAATAGTGATTCAATGGGATATTAATGGGATATACCCTCTGGTAAACTAACATAGCTATTGAAAATGCCCATTGAAATCGTTGATTTTCCCATTAATAGCATGGTGATTTTCCCATCAGTTTTTTGTAAACGTTTACCAATCCGGGTATGTTTTTCTACATTCTACACACACATTCTCTTTCTGAACAGGTTGATTTTTGACCGCAAGGCGCCGCGCAAGCGCAAAGGGTGTATCTCCAAGATCTGTGCAATTTGTTGTGCCACGATTCCCCGTATATTCATAGTGATGTTTTACCCTCTGGTGAACTAACATAGCAATGGAAAATCACCATTTTTAATGGGAAAATCCACTATAAATGGCCATTTTCCATTGCTATGTTAGTTCACCAGAGGGTAATTGTGATCAGCAAGAGAAGAAATTGGGAGTTACCAAGACTGGGTTAATAATGATTAATAATGACTCATAGTGATTAATAATAGTGACTAATAATTCATAGTGATTAATCATGAAATAATGATTAATAGTGACTATTCAGGATATACCATCCTTTTTTATGACTAACAGTTTGCTATTGAAAATGGCCATAGTTCGTTGATCTACCTATCAAAAATGGCTGAAAATAAACTTAGCTATTAACAATTGCCGATTTATGGTTGATTTACCTATTAAAAACATGTGGATTTTCCATAGCTTTTTGTTAGTCTACCAGAGGCGAATTCCCATGGATAGCTGGTTCTCATCATATCTGACGACAGATTCTCGAGATATTTTGCCATGATTACGGTTGGCTTTATCCCCACTTTGGCCAAATGTCCCAAAACCAAAGCCCATTGGTTCCCATTTTTTCAATATCTGTACATTAGTTGTATCCCATGGATGTTCCCATTGCTGATTTTCCCACATCCAAATTTTTTAGAGGGAGTTTCAGGACCTTAGAATGGAGGTACTATACCATATAAGGCCACCTTATGTAGGGATGTTCCATTACGTAGCTAGCCTTTATATAGGCCCTATGTATGGTAGGTACCTCCAATAAATCGGTTCCTGAAATGGCCAGTGAATTATTACATAACCATCATGGTTGGCAAGATTCCCAAAAATAATCATTCATGATGGTTATGTAATAATTAATGATAATAATTATCAATTACATAACCATCATGGTTGGCAAGAATGGATTCATGAACCACTATTGAATCATTATCAACCATCCATCCATTCTTGTAGGCCATTAAGTTGATTCCATCAGTATTTGTTATGGATATTCACTATGATGGATGGCTGATTTTCCCATGGAACTCACATTTTTTTGAAATAGTTTTTAATAGATGTTCCCATAGAAACACATTTTTTTAAGATAGATGTTCCCATACAAATCCCAATTCTTTATAGATTCCTCCATAGAAATCCCAGTTCTGTATAGATATTCCGATAGAAATCCCCATTTTTTCACAGGCGACCCATCCAAAACTCTGCGTTTTTTTAACACGGACGAGGTATGCAGAAGCCCAGTTCGGCGATGGATACCTGGGTGGAGTTTTTTGACGTGCCTCGCCGGCAACGGCATCGGGTACTTTCCATGGGAAATAGTGATAGGGAAAGTCATATGGGTATATATATATACACACACATACATATCTCTACATGTATATATATTTACATATCTAACCATATATATATATATGTACATATTGTATATGGAAAACCATGGGAAAATTAACGATAGCACCTTAAAAAAATGGGGAAAAAAGGGGATGTTTTACATCCATAGATCACGGAAACATCGACAAAAAAGATTCCCATGGAAGGCATAGAAGGCATGGCTCACCTGTCCATGTAGCCTTGCTAAGTCAGATACCTTGCTAAGTCAACATGAACTGTCGTTCAGCAATACTGTTGACGGACAAGGTCCCAAGGTCCGGCACCTGTGTGTATGATTTTATCCCATGTTTGATAGGATTGATTGCACCCTGAATGGTGCATGAATCTTGCATCAGCATCACAGAGTATGCACTAACAATCGCTGACGTTTTTTCGGCTCAGCCTTCGTGACGCTTGCATGACTGCAACGTTTTACATCAGCTTTTTCTCTTTGGGCTTCCCCAGCTTCAATGAAGTCCTTGAAACTTTTGCTCGTGCTCTCCATGGCGTGGGCTGCAAGGCAGGCTCCGCAATGTGATGAGAATGCCATGCTGCAAGCAGAGTCACCAAGACCGAGGGGCTACAGACGAAGACCGAGGAGCTCCAGAAGCTTCGCATTGCCTTTGGGATATACGATTTTAGGGCCTGGTCGTCAGGTGGTGGCGCGGTTGTTGCTGCCCATCACAGTGCCATGCCCTGCAGAGTTGCGTGTGACCATGGGAGATCGCAAGCAGCTAGTACCCGTTCGTGTGAGAGCCGAGCCTCATTTTGGCATACATGGGGCGTGGTTTACAGAAGGCCAGCGTTTTCAGCACCTAACTGGCACCAACTACGCCTTTGCAAATCCCATCAGTCCATTTGCCTATGAAGACCGGGTTTGTGAAGCTCCGTTTGTCCCAGAATTCTTGGGTGAGGGCATTGTGGCCGCGTTCCAGTTGCAGGACGGCAGTTCAGTCAAAGTGCCCATGCCAGCAAGACAACCAAAGAGGTTCCTGGTCATGGGTGACACTGGCTTGAGGATCAAGGCTGGGTCAACCTTTGTTAGATATTCCAGTAGTACCGCACAAGGCGGTGGCGGAAGTTTCAGGACATGTCTTCACCACAAGATGAACCACCAGATTTACCACCGTATCCATCATCATCACCAGATCATCCACAACCACCGTTTCCCCGAGCCAATGCCGTACCTGTCGCACCAGACACTTTAATTGCGCCAAGCACAATCATTCCACCAAACATTGAAGATACACCATGACACATAGCACTAAGAGACCACCTGATGATCCACTGATACCACCTGCTACTAAGGCCCGACCATCGCAAATGCCTGCGTCGTCTTCATCCCAATTTCATCCTAACAACCATTTGGGGGGTGATACACAGCCATCCGTTACACCAAACGCGACCATACAACCCGTTGTAGTCGCACCTAGTGTTTCTAATGCGAAGAAATCGCTTAAAAACCCCAAGGATGTTGCTGTACCCGATGACTTTGATGATGACGAGCCTGATCCAGATGCAGGTCCATCAGGACATAATGGTCCACCGATACTTCCGCTAGATGGAGAGGAACCTTTCAATCCTGCACCCATGCCTGAGAATGATTTGCAACAGGACTCTCCAGATCAACAGGAACCTGAAGAAGAAGAAAAAGAAGAAGAAGAAGAAGAAGAACCTGAAGAACCTGAAGAACCTGCAGAACCTGAAGAACCTGAAGAAGACACAGATGACCGAAGGAAGTTTAGAAGTCAAACTTCCGACAATATGGACAGATGAAAAGCAGAGATGGGAAGAGTCAGGGAAGAGAAAAGAAGAAAGAAGATCAAAAAGAGAAAGTCTCCGAAGAAAGAAGATCCAGGTGCGGGAAAAGGTCGGAAAGTCGCGAAACACTGTGTTTTTCCAATGATTTGTGGGTTTGGAGGGTCGAAAAGTAGGCTCGCTAAAGCGGCGGGTGCGGAGCCAGCTGGCCAGAGGAGAGATGAAAAATTGCACGCAGTTGTGGCGCGAAGCACATTTCAAAGTCAAAAGTGTAAAAAACTGACGGGTTGGGAGCACTTTTGGAAGTTGAGATGTCGAAAAAGTGCACGCCGTTGTGGAGCGACGCACATTTCGAAGTCAAAATGTACAAAACACACCATGGTCGGACCACTGTTGGAAGTTGAAATGTCAAAAAGCACATTTCGAAGTCAAAATGCACAAAACACACCACGCTCGGAGCACTGTTGGAAGTTGAGATGTTCAAAAAAGTTCACGTTGCTGTGGCGCAAGGCACATTTCCAAGCCAAAAGTGTAAAACACTGACGGGTACGTAGCACTTTTGGACCTTCAGAAGTCGTTTCGTGTGGCAGGCGCAAGGGATTGTGCACTTTGTCAAAAGTGAGCAAAACGTGAGGGTTTTGTAGCATTTCTAAAAACGATGGCAGGCGTGGGAACATTTGAAGAGGATCTGCAAAGATGTATTTTCCGTGGCAGGCGCAGTACAAGAGACATGTTCATCAGAGGTGTTAGGAGGTGAGGGCGCTGATTTCCTGAGAAGGGTTGCATTTTGGAGCATCAGATCTGAGGTTTGCTAAGATGATTTTGCGTGACAGGTGCAGCACTTCGTAATGTTGGTTCCTGATTAGTGTGAGGCCCCCCCCCTCCGTGGCTTGGACTGTTCCGTTCTATTTGACGGCTCAGCTTGTGAAGAAATAGAGCACTCTATGAAACATGCATGTATAAATATTATGTTTATAAATGCTTATAATACATGGATGAAAATACATGTATATACATACATACATAACATAACATTACCTTACCTTGCGTTACATAACAAAACATAACATAATCATACATAAATACATACTAAATGCATACATGCATAAATACATGCATAGAAAAACACATACAGGCATGCATTCATACCTATGCATACATGCAGAGAGGCACGCGGGGTTCGAGGGGTTGGCGGGGTTTGCGGGGTTGGCTTGTTTTTGTTTCGACCTAATACCTACATAGGTACATGCATGAGTATTGAGCACATTTATATGCGCCCTTCAAGGCTCAAGAGGTATATAGAGTAACCCTGTAGACAAGCACGGACCGGCAACAGGCTGAGTAAAACAAGTGCTGTCATTGGGGAAGACGCCTTAGCTGATCTTGAAGTAGACGCTAGGGCCCCTCTTCAAGTGGTAGCGGAGCTGTGATCCCTCATTGAGGGTGAGCTCCAGGTAGAGCCCAAGCAATGGCAAGCCATGGCTATGATGATGATGACTTCGACATTGTCGATGCAAATGAATGGAACCAATATGACTCTTATGCAATGAGAAGAGCACCCCAGCATACACAGATTCATATGACGCAACAGATGACCACAAAGGTTGCTCCAGCCTATGATGGGCGAACCAGCTTCTTTGCTTTTGAGGATGCAATTGATGACTGGTGTGACATTACGGAGTTAGAACCAGAGAAACGTGGTCCAGCATTGCGCAACAGACTGGAAGGAGATGCTCAACAATACAAGAGGCTATTGGATAGAGAATTACTCAGGGATCCCTATGAAGGAGTGGCTTATTTCAAAAGATTTCTACGACCTCATTTCATCAAAGGTGCCCAGAACGTGTTCTTATACCGTTTCATGCAGTTCATGAAGTTCAACAGAGGAACCATGGATCTTCAGAAGTGGATGACTAGATTTCAACTCACTGGCAATAGACTTATTGAGTCTTGGATGGATTTACTTCCAGAAGTAACAGTGACTAGTCCTGAAGCAATCCTGTTTGTTCAGCAACGACGTCAAGAACATGATCGAGATCAACAAGATCGAGCTGAAGTAGCAGCAGCCTCAGGAGCAGCTCCTCATGTAGTTGTTCCTTGGTCAGATGAACTGGCATTAGCGGCATTTAGACAATTTCAGGAAGATCGTAGACAAGTACAGCGACAAGCATTCCCACTGGGTGAAAATTTGCTAGCATTGATTTTTGTAAGTCTAGCTGACCTGAGTCAAGATCAGAGAAACACACTCACAAGTATCATGACACATCGTGGACGAACCCTCGATCGATACAACATTCAAGAACTACGTGACCTGTTTTTGGAAATGTTTTGCACTACCAAGACAGCAGTTGACAATCCATTGATGCAACCCTCTGGCATGGCACAGAGAAGATCTTTCCTCGTACTGGATGAAGGTGAATTAGAAGGAACCGACGGCTATTGGGCCGAAGATGAAGAAGACGGCGCAGAAGGATTCCTGGATGCTTTAGAAGATGTTTTCTGGGTTTATGATGACGCCAACTTCACATGGTATCAGAGAAGGTTCCAAGGCAAATACATCAGACGAGGCAAAGGTAAAGGAAAGAGAAAAGGAAAAGGAAAAGGCAGAGGAGGACGAAGGTTCTTCAGATCAAGAAAAGGAAAAGGCCGAGGAAAAGGAAGAAGGAAAGGCCGTGCTCACATGGTGAGTGAAGAAGATTATGAAGAAGATTGGCAAGAAGATGAATGGAATGAAAACTATGACGGCTATTGGGCCGATGATCAAACCTGGAATGAAGGCTATTGGGCCTATGATGATTCATACTACATGGATGAGTATGGATACTTCCAGAGGAAAGGAAAAGGAAAAGGAAAAGGAAAGAAAGGCAAGAAAGGCAAGGATGATGATGGAAAAGGAGGAAAGCCAGGAGATGGAAAAGGCAAGTCGAACTATGTTCAACCTCAGACCACATCAGTTCCTGCCATACAGAATCAACAAACTCAACAAGCTCATTATTCTTCTGCAGCTTCAAGCTCTGGTCATGGTTTCTTTTCATTTGGAACACCTGACCCATTACGTGTTGATGTTGCAGAGACAGAGCCAGCACGTGTTGATGTTTTGACATCCACGTATGCAGCACAAGATGAACAACGACGCACTCGTCGTGGAGGACAGAACCAACGTGATGCAAGAGCACAGCAAAACAGGAGAGAAATGAAGAGATTCCCTGTTCTGATCGGAGAAGTTGATGCACTACGACAAGGTGTACGACAACGTCCAGCTGTAGTGCCCAGGCAAGTTGGTCTTCAAGAAGGTGAGGCCTCATTGAGGCCATTGGCAGAAGGCACATCATTGTTTTCATATGGATGCTCTACAGAAATAGAGGAACCATCACAGCAGAGTGCTTTTTCATTTCATACTGTACAAACTGATCTGGCATGCGAGAATGGACTAGCTTTTCACACAGAGAATTCTGCACCACCAACTGTGTGTATTCTGGATCTTGGATGCACAAGAGCTATGGGCTCTCGACGAGCAGTTGAAGCATTTTGCAGATATGTTGACTCACATCCCAACAGTGGACTCTGGTATGAAATTCAGTCAACAAGTTCAAGATTCTTCTTTGCAAATTCACAACAATCAAAATGTACTGAGAAGCTCGTGATATTCATGTATGATCATGGATGGAACACTCAGTTTACAGAATTCGACATTGTCGAAGAAGGTGATGTCCCATTGTTGATGTCACTTCCACAGATGAGAAACCTTGGATTTCAATTTGAACTTACTCCAGAGAAGGCTTATTTGTCCTGTGCACGTATTGGCATGAGAAAAATGGTTTTGAGGACAGCCATTAGTACTCATCTCATTCTCGACCTACAAGATGTAGCATGGTACATGAGCCAAGTTCATTTCAAGACTCCACAAGTCAAAAGTTTCTATTCACAACACGATCACTTTGAGTACAGTCAGATTGCTGTCAAACAAGATGATCATGAAGGAGAAGCTTTGGTGACTGGTGACTATTGGCAGGTTGATCCACTACGTCGTGAACTCATCAGGCACCACAAGGACAAGAGAATGAACTTACATGAGATGACTCGATCAGAGAAAACTCCAATTCCAAAAGATCAACTTCTTGATGAGAGAGAAACCCACATGGAATTCCAGAAGAGCAAGAAGAAGGTTCTTCACAAGGACAACTGGCGCACTGAGAAGAAGAGGTTTTCTGAACAGAGTGAAGAGTTCTGGAAGGGCAAGACCATCTACAAGATCAAGGAGGACTAC